CGCACTACACTGTTGTTCTTGCGCGCAGCATTGTCACCTGCTCATTTCGTTTGTGTTAGTGGAATTATTAACCAGGCTCTTCCACGTCCACGCCTATGTTGTACTCTGCTTCGTTCCCAGTGCCAATCTAAAAGTTGTCCTCCCTGTTGCTCACATCCTCCACCCTCTCAACCCCTGAGGTCATCAACACACCTCCTGTTACTTACCTTCAACTTTTACTGTGACAACTTGAGCACTCTATCAGCGTCAGTCATCTTGTTAACTGTATCTATAGCTCAGTTTAGTACTGATGTCAGAGCAGTAGATTTGTTCACTCGTTAATCCTGTTTCCTTTACAGTGACGTGAGATGCTTTGGCAGAAATCAGGAGCAGCAGTCAAGCTTAGAAACTATATTTAAAGTTAAGGGACCAGGCCAGCATGTCTTCTCATGTCTTGTGGACAGTTAAGGATAAGGGATAGTTATTACAACTTGGATGTTTTTTCACAGTTTTGGCTGTCATTCTTGTCAGGAAAAATAACACTGTACTAACCAAGTCCATTGATGACAACTTGGTGTGCCACTGGTGTTTTCCATAAGCACCAGCTGTTGGCCGTATGGCTGGACATTCAAAGTTTTCCAGCCGACAACTTTCTCACATCACCATTTCTCACATCACCATTACCTGGTAGATCTTGTTCATTTTTAACTACATCTTTTAACTGGACAGTAGCTTGGCTCACAGTCCCCTCCAACCCCGTGTCAGTCACAGAGAGTCAGAGACACACTGATTTTTAACATGATTGGCTTAATTTCAGTACGATGAGAGGAAGTGGTGATGCATTGTCCATTGTGTGTGTGGTCTGTTTTTTTCTCGTAAAATCTGACACGTGACATGAGCGATGGCTCATCGTTATCCTACAAAAAAAAAATCGCTAGTCTGCATGGTAGTTGTAGTCTACTGTGATAACGACCATTCGTAGTATCCTGTATATCCAACTACAATTGTCTCCAATTCCTGTGGGGTTACCTCTAGCCTCTCCCATCATCACTTCACTTCAGCAAGACGGCGGTGAAAATGAAGAGGTATTTTCAGCCCCTCGACAAAAACCCCAAACAAAAAGAGAAAAATTACGAAAAATTTGTAGAGGTGGTAACGGACATTTTATACTAGGCCTGTTGCGATATGCTATAAGTTGGTTAATTGCACGGTAAATTAAAAGGGAGACGGTAACTTTTCCAGCTGCGATTAATTGCCATATTCATGCGTGTTTGTTTTTCTCGTCTCACTCCACCAAAGAGACTGGACGACAAGAGCGTTCACTGCCGTGCATTGTCTGGCAGCCAAGTGAGTTGGTTCATTAGCGTAATGAATGGAGGGAAAGCTCTTGCCATCGAGTGTCTTTGTCTCTGTGGGGGAGGCGGGGCTATGGGCTACACACACACAGTGCGATCTTCGTGAGGGGGAGACGAGGCGGAGAAAAAAAACAGAGAGTTGAGCATAAAGCCTGATTTATGGTCCTGCGTTAAATCGACGACGTCGCTACGTCGTAGGGTACGTGGCTACGCAGAAGGCTCACCGTAGCCCCTGGCGTAGCCTGACGTGCACCTCCCCAAAAATGTAACTACACGTCGAGGCGACGCAGACCCAGCGCAGACCGAGAGGGCTGTGATTGGTTTGCTTGGTAGCAACGCATTTCTGGTTCCATATTTCCAGATTCCGCCCTGCCCACCGCGAATCCCCACCATCTTTAAACATCTTAAACACCTGTTGCGATGTAGATGTTGCAGTATGAAGGCCCATTTATGCTCAACGTTAAATACGGATATGGATGGAGCCTTCTGTCTGTGCTCCGCGTTCATTTCTCCGTGACCGGAAAAGCCGGAAGCTAAACAAAGAATCAACTAGAGATGACGATAACCGTTCAGGAAAGGAACGCGCAGCTTTATAAAACTCTTGAACATGTAATGACTCCTTAATTAGCAAGTTGACTTTACATAGATGGCATAGATGGCACCTCTTTTCAGTTTCTCCTGACATTGTGTTGTTTGGTTTGTTCACCGCTCCACGACATGCGCGTTAAGGCCCGAACATACTCGGGTGGAAAATACGCGGAACGGATTCCACAACGCGGAAGTGCGCTCGACTATGAAAGCCCGAATGACTGCGGACATTCCTCGCGGAGTCCGCTCCGCTTATAGTACGCCTGAGTATGCTTGTGTCGAGCGGGCAGAGGCGTTGATCTCGTCAGCATGCTCCACACACGCGCTGTCTCCCCCCCACACCTCGCGATTGCATTGTCATTTAAAAAAGACATCGTGAAACAACCCTTCTATCGGCACAACCCTAGTAGGTACGTCGTAGGTACGCCGCAGGACCATAAATCAGGCTTAAGAGAAAGACATGGAACTTGTTCCTAAACCAAATGCCACGGCCCACCTGAGAGTGAGAGAGAGTCCATTTTTTTGTATTTATTTATTTTGATATTTTTAAGTGTTATTTTGGATATTTAAATTTTCTTTTTTGCGTTCCTAAATATTCTTAAATAAATGTTTATTTCTCTTTAAAAGGGTGTATTTGCATCAATATGCCTTTATTATCATTATGTAAGTTTAAAAAATGGTCTAAAAACAGCAAAATTACAACAATACTAAAAATTGTCTTAAAAGCACAATACTGCGCAATATTATCGCTTATCACAATCATTTCTGACGCAATTAATCGCCCAGCAAAATTTGTTATCGTGATGGCCCTATGTTGTGATACAAACTTTCTGGCCTGTGCTACAAAATTATCACCCTCTGTCTGTAGCACCAGTGCTACGGGCTAAAAAAGTTAACGTACAGCCCTGTACAGCCATCACCATCTTGATTTTTTGAAGCCAGCAGTGACCATATTTGAGCGAAAAGCTGGCACTGTGGAGTGAGGGGTGGATCTGGCTGAGAAGATGAGGGTACTAATGACAGACAGCCTGTCACTGTAAGCAGCCCGCCCTTAATTATGCATAATTTAAAGCCTTAATAAAATGTTAATGGGTCAATTATATAAATTTTCAGCCCTGTACAGTTGTCAAGAATGTTGATATTAGCTATTAAGGTCAAAACCAGGCTGTAAACACGTTTATTTTAGCTGTAAAGTTGGACCTTTTAACATGGGAGTCAATAGGTGTGACTGGCCCTGGAGGTTGCCACTTATTCATTTGTTTTAACATCCATGACACTTTACAGACCCACTTCCTGCTTCAACCTTAGTCTTACCTGTAGTTAAGGGGTTTAAATAATCTGGGTTGACTGTTCCCTTTGAGAATTACCAAGGAGGATTACGGCAATGTTAAAGGAAAAAAAAAATCTTCACAGATTTAGACTGTAAAGTTAGGTAACATGGTATAAAAAATGACAAAGTGTGAACAAACAGTGTTGGGGGTGACAGTAACATATGTTTTAGCAGTGATGAAGTAATATGATGCGTTACCAACAAGATTACGGGTGATATTATTGCTTTTACAATGTCAACCCTAACCCTAACCCACCTGAAAACTGTTTGTTGTTTTAATTTTTCCTTCATCGACTCTGATCCACACCGTTGCACTTCCACCAGTGTGCCACCAGATAAAATATCCTCTGAAGGTTGTTGTGTCATCTTACAGACTACATTATAGAAGGGTGCTGCCGGTGATCACACATCTGGGTGATGCTGCATTGCGCATGAAAACATATTCAACATACTAATGCACATAGGATGGCATCACCCAGATGTGTTGATCAACAGGACAAGGAAAAAACATATCACAGGCCAGCTCCTTACCCCCACTGCCTTCAGGCAGCCTTAGGACGCAAAGCAGAACGGGATGCATTGTAGGTATATAAATGAAAACACACTGAACAAAATAACGCACAGTGCAGCATCACCCGGATGTGCGATCACCAACTGCAGCACCCTCTATAATATAGTTTGTGATATGACACAACAACCTTCAGGGGATTTTGTTTTTCACTGGTGGTCCACTGGTGGAAGTGGAACAATGTGGATCAGTGAATGAAGGAAAAATTAAAACAATTAATAGTTTTCAGGTTGTAATGCATTGTGTGACATTGTAAATGCAGTATCACCCATAATCTTGTTGGTAACGCGTTATATTACTTAATTACTGCTAAAACGTATATTACTGTCACCCCCAACACTCTTTGTGCACACTTTGTTGCTTTTTATACCATGTCACACGATTTAATGGTCTTAATCTGTGGCTTTTTTTCGCCTGAAATTTAGTTTAATTTAAGTTTAATCTCATAATATTTCAACTTTATTCTCATAGATTTACGACTTTATTCTCAAACTTTAAGATGTTTTTCTTTAACATGGCCCTAATCCTCCTTCAAGGAAGAATTCTCCTGAACAATAGAAAGATGTTAAAATATCAGGCACTAGATTGTACGCATTTTAAACTATCCACTTTGACCACTCAGAACTAATGCCAGATGTAAAGTGGGTCTTTGTCATGATAGAGTTTATATTAAAATGGAAATGCTTTGCCTATTCTTATTCCTGAAATCTCTCACTTGATCTATAGTAACGTAATGGTTACTGAAAGTAAGAAAAACAGCTAAAGAGCAGGGAAAGAACATTTCTGAAACACATGCATGAAACTGTAATATTCCACAGCAAACAGTGACTTGACCACCAGTGGCTATTAAATGAGGGACGTTCCAGCCAGTGACCGGGACAAGAAAGGCTAATGGTGTCAGCTGAAGGAAGATTACCTGCTCTCACCCCTGGGTTACCCACGGCCAGTGTTCCCTTTAAGCCAGTGGTGGTGAGTCCTGTGTCACAGAGGAGCCTGCAGGTTTTAATTCTCACTAATCAGATCAGCAGCTCATTTTGCTGACTGCCCTCCCTCTCTGGTTAACAGGTGGAGAAATCAGTGAAATTAGCTGTGGTATAGTTTGGTTGGGGTCAAAAAAAACTGCAGCTTTCTTAAGTTGCACACAAGACAGTAAATGAGTTAATAAGGAAATGGAGCTTACCTGGGAAGGAAAGGGGTCCCTTCTTTGACTGGTTAGGGTAAAAAAGGAGAGGTTCAGGGAAGGTGGGGGCTGTCATGCAGCACACGTGACCTGGTCCATCCGCACCTCCAGCTGGAAGGCATCTGGCCGGTCCTGAGGGTTGACTGCAAGCATGTCCTGGAGGAGTTTCTTCACCCCTTCAGACATGGAGCTCCTGGCCTTCTGAGGGATGTGGAGAACCATTTTAGGGTTCTCCAACAGAGCCTCCCCGACAGGTACAATCTCTGTGCCCTGCCGTATGTAGGTGCCCAGCAGTTCACGCTTGGACTCTGCGTCAATGAAAGTGATCCGCTCAATCATCGCCCAGATGATGATGCCCAGGGCGAAGATATCAGCCTTGGCTGTGTAGTGGCCCTCCCACACCTCGGGGGCCATGTAGAAGTCCGAGCCACAAGCTGATGACAACCAGAACTTGTTGATGTTGATGATGTTGTTCTGGTTGCTGCCTCGGCCGCCCCCTCCTCCTGCAGGGTGTTCTTCACTGTTTTTTGAGTTTAGGCCAGCACAAACCTTACTGAGGCCAAAGTCGGCCACTTTGAGAACAGGGGAGCCAGATTTCTGTGAGATGAGGATGTTGTCTGGCTTCAGATCACGATGGACGATGTTGTTCTTGTGTAAAAAAGCTACAGCACTCGTCAACTGGCGCATAAAGCTCCTGTTGGTCTGGGGGTCAGGCCGGCGGGACAGGATGTACTGATTGAGGTCCCCACCCTCGCAAAACTCCATGACAAACCAGAGGTAGCACGGCTCCTCTGGGTAACCCAGGATACGTTCCCCTGCAGCGTGCAGATTGAAAATGGACAGATATAATCTGATTAGTGAGATAACAGCAGTCAAACTGTGACATTCAGTCTATTGATCAGAGCTAAAAGCAGTGGTGTTCCATACCAGGACCACAACAAGTGCAAAAACACTCACTCTCACACTATACTTCAAGCCCACAACAATGAATCATACACGAGTCATGTACACACAAAGACAGTGCTACTTTCAACACAGGATTTGACATGCTAATTATTTTCTGACTGAAGATCATCCACAGGTTTCAGGAGTTAGAGATACTTGGTAAGTTGTTATCATCCTGTGGAAACAACACAATGTTTAGTGGTTTGTAGGTTTGATAGTATCATGATCTGTGCCACTACAAAGAGTGCTACATTTGAGGTTTAAAACCTCAAACCTTTGCAGACATTTCTGTACGATTTGCAAGTGTTGTTGCTGTCATCTAACTGTCCTGCAACATCTAAGGTTCAGCCAAGGTGGTAAACCACCTGGATCCTGACACCTCTCATCTCATGATCAATTTAGAAGCAGTGCAAACATTATGCACATTAGTTAAATATATGACTTCTGCTGTGAAATAGAACCTCTACACATTTTGCATTGGAGGTGGTCTTTGATTTAGGCAAGGTGGCCAACCTCTTCTATCAAACACTGCAAAAAACCCTGATGGTAGGGTGATAAATAATGGAAAGCAAAACCCAACCAAAACTGTATTTTTAAGGTAAAAATAATGACAGAGATATCTGGGAATTAATAGAAATTGACAGATATTTGTTTCATTAAATAAACTCATGTTTTATATGGATCCTAGGGCTGGGCAATATACTGATATTACATAGATATTGTGATAGAAGAGTAGATAACGTTTTGAATTTTGATATCGTAATATCACAAGTGTTGTCTTTTCCTGGTTTAAAAGGTTGCATTACAGTAAAGTTGTCATTTTCTGAACTCACCAGACTGTTCTAGCTGTTCTATTATTTGCCTTTACCCACTTTATCATTATATCCACATTGCTGATTATGAATTAAAATCAAATTTTGTATAGCACCAATAGCCAACCCTACAATATCGTTGCAATATAAATATTGAGGATTTGGTCAAAAAATATTGTGATATTTGATTTTTGGCCCAGCCCTAACAGTTCCATTAAAGTTGATTCTTAAGGAATTGTGATGCACTGAGCAGGACAGTGTACTTTGGTTGAAAAACATTGTTGTTTTTTTTAAATTACCTCAAAAACATTTTTCTTCACAATCGTTTGTTGTTACTTATCAGCCAACACCTATTGCCAATACCAACACGATCTATCTGCAATAATAATAATACTAACAATAATATCAGTTGATATATTGGCCCAGCTGCTTTATCAGTTGGGCTCTTAACAGAAACTGGTGATTTTTTCTCACATATCATGTCTTATTGTACACTGTACTGATCAGGTGTATTATATATAATAACAGGATATACCTTTGAGGTAAGAGTGAATCTGGCTTTAAAATGTCCAAATAGCATTCCTTCCCAACACTGACCTGCCCTTATCATCTTTATGTGAGCTGTTGACTACTTGGCTTTACACTTAATAAACTAGGTTAAGTGGACCAAGACAAAAGGCATTTGTAGATTAAAAACAAGCCCTTTGCATTGTTACCCAGCCCTACAAACATTAGGTTGTTTTCATGGCTGCAAAAGATGTCAGCTCCAGATTAATATTTCATTTCAAGAGCCTGAATGGTGACACTTGTATAACAGCCAGGCTATTAAAAGAAAAGAAGCAAAGGCTGAGCACTGATTGAGTTGCAACTCTAAAATTTTAACAGCACAGGTCAGTACTGGTAGTTTAATGCAAAAATTCAATTTTATGAAGATATATTCACTAGCTACTACCTATTTTTCTATTAGCCCTGCTGAGCAATAACAAAGGAAGTGATAAGTAGGTCAAACTGGATGGATGACAACCATGATAAAAACAAAAATGAATAAAAATGTAGTTGTCATAACATATAGCTGCAGTATTTCATTATAATATTCCACATTACACTGTAACATCATTGTTTAGTCTCTGAAATCACAGTCAACAAGAAATATGTCAACATGCTGCCAAGTAGTACACTGTGTACTCTTGTGAGCTGAGGGAAACACGGTGTACTCTCTGTGCCTACTATATGTAATGTATAGCAACGTCACTGACAGACAGAGGGTCGCAAAAGGAATTCATGTTACTTTTAATTCACAAAATGCCTTTTCCGTGAATGAAACTTAATACCATACATGCAGTTTATAGAGTCTTAATTATTCTGTGGTGTGCATCTGAGTGTGGTTGATTAAAGCGAACCCATTTTGGTTAATTTACTGTCATCAACTACAGACCCACAGTGCATGTTTACATAAGCTGAGGAGACATTTAACTGTTCTGTAGCTGGATTTAATTTACTTTAATTAATACACAAGACAACTGAGCTTTTAATGCAAAAGTCTAAAAAAACTGGAGCATAAACTGACAAAATCACTGTCACCTTTTAAATTACTTAAGTATAATTCTATAGACAAGCATTTTGGAGTAAGGACATTATAAGACACAGGTTAAAGCATGTGCGTGTACTCTTTAATTATTTGCAATAATGAAGGTATTGTACTGCTAACGACTGAGGACTAAACATGACAGTAGCCTGTTTACCTTTGAGTGACGTCTCCACCAGGCGCAGGTACTGTTTGGACCTCTTGTTGCCATGGCTCATCTTCTGAGCCAGGCCCTTCCTCTGGAGGACACACTCCTCTAGCTGGACCACATTCTGGTGTCGGTTCTCCAGGCTCGTCAGGGCCCAGAACTCGGCCAAAGCCAGCTCTACGTTTTCCGGGGCGTCGCATTGGAGCCTCTTCACCGCCACCCTGGCCCCTGTTTTCCGAGCTATGGCCTCATACACCACCCCGTAGCTTCCTCGGCCAACCTCCCGCAGCAGGCTGTAACGTGGAGACACCGCCACGGCGGGCTCCGGTCGGTCATTCCGAAGGAAACCAATGGAGAAGCAGTCGTCGTCCTCTTCTTCCTCCATGGGCTCCGTGCGATTATTGTCCTCCACCGTCAGGGAGCGGAGGACTTTACCCACCTCCCGCTTCATCTTTACGGCCACACTCCGTCTGCAGCCCCGCACACCGCCGCTTACCTGTTTCCTCTTCTTCCCGACGCAAATATCCATAATTTCTTTTTTGTTGAAAGTAAGCATGAAGGAAGGACGTCTTTATCGCTCATTACTTAAACTCTAAACTAAAAAAGTCTGACGTCCTTACGTCTGCCTAGCTGATGTTCGCGGAGGTTAAACGCCAGCCTGTTAAAAGTTGAATACTTTGCTCTTGATAATGAGAACGCTAGCTTAGTGCTACCGATTGTCCAGCTGTAGAGACTAATTTACCTTCACAAACAAAATGTTCCAGCTTCCAAGTACACACGGAGAACAGAGGGCGTGGTGTTCTCTGCAGCCGCGTGCTGATTGGCGGAGAGGGGAAACAGCTCGCAGAGATCCCATTATGGTCAAAGGGGTGGAGAATACAGCGAGCACGCGAATACTATGTTTTTATTTTGAAATAGGACTCTAGTCTGATGAGGGTCCGTTATTACTAAAGCTTCTGATTTGAACTCTTTGTGTATTTCATAAATTGTGCTATTTCAGAGTAAACCAGCGTGGATTCCTTTATCTGTGCTCTTGGAAGCATGGACTAACGGGCACGTGTACACCATGTGTATGGGGAACGCGTACGTCATGTGTCGCCCATTCCCTCTCAGCAACAGACAAACCATTGACAAACAGGGAGCAAAGGTAGACGGGATATTATTTCTGTATGAGTGCCACCCTGGGTACTGTTGACAACTGAAATAAAATATTCTTAAATACTATTTTTGTTATACCAAAATATCACTACTCTGTTACATGTGTAATGAAAGGTTTGTAAACTGTAATTTTTACTTGGTTATTTTTTTTATTTCATTGTTTTTAGATGTTTCTTCATGCCCAATTCATCATTTGTTTCATTTTATTTAATTTGTGTATACATTTATATGAATCTTACCCATTTAACACCTTGGAATAATGTGCATTGATTATATGACCACATATGTAGGTGTACAGTACATTACAGTATGTTGACATACAATATAAGATTTAGTATAGACATACATTCACACCCATTATCCTCCCGACAGCACAGAAGATCTATACAATTAGAATCCAAGATGAGTGTGACTAATTAAGTATCTGACCAAATATTTCCCCCTCTGTTCTTCAGATATGATGTTGGATATTGGCCAGAAAAGTGTTTTATGCAGAACATTATGGTGTCACAGTGAAGTTGACGTTTGACCTTTTGGATATAAAATGCCATCACTTCCTTTTTTTAGTCCTTTTACACATTTGTGTCAAGTTTTGTCATAATTAGCATATGAATTCTTGAGTTATGGCCAAAAACATATTTTGTGAGGGCACACTGACCTCGACCTTTGACCATAAAATTCTAATCAGTTTATTCTTTTTTGTATTAATATTTTTATTTGGAAATGCAAACAAGTACAAAAATCAAAAAATAAGTGATATGGGAAGGAGAAGAAAATAAATACATAAATACACTTTACCAGTTCTATTAGTGAAACTGTGCATAGACCTACTGTGTTCTATATGATTAAATATCTTGGATTGGGAAATTTTATTACAGGGCATTGGGCAAAGTTTTGAGTTTACTTAAATGTGTCAAAACAGGGTTCCAAATGGAGAAGAATTTGTCACTAGATCCCCTAAGTGAATATTTAATCTTCTCTAACTGTATGAAGAGCATCAAGTAGCTTAACCACAAAGACACTTTAGGGGTGTGTTTTGATTTCCAGTGTAATAAAATTCTCCTGCGAGCAAGCAATGTTGTGAAGGCAATAATATTTTTGTGGCTTTTCCTAAATACAGAGTATTGGACAGCTGTGATTCCAAATATGGCTGCTGCTGCACTGGGTTGGAAATCAGTATTAATTGCTTCAGATAGAAATTTAAAAATCATAGACCAGTAAGTTGTCAGAGCAGGGTATGACCAGAACGTATGAGTCAAGTTGGCGGGAGTGTTCTGGCACCTGTCACAACTTGCATCTGAATCAAGGTACAACTTAGCTAATCTTGCTTTGGAGACGTGAGCTCAATGTAGAACTTTGAACTGTATTATACTTAGTCTTGCACAAGAAGTACTATTGTTTACTCTTTGTAAAACACAGTTCCATTCATCCTCCTCCATGTCCTCTCCTAACTCAGCTGTCCAATTTGCCCTAATCTTGGCGAGGGTTATGTTTTCAAGAGAAGCTGTATAGTCATGTATCCTTGCAATTAGCCCTTTTGATCTAAAAGGAATCTCTATCTAAGCCTGACAAGCCTGACATATCTAAGCCTGATCTAAGCCTGACAAGCTTGGAAAAGTGGGGTCCTGGCTCTGAAGGAAGTGGCAGAACTGAAATTAACGAAATAGGCTGGACCTAGGAAGACTGAATTTGTGTGATAGGTCCTCAAAACTTGCAAATGTACCATTTATGTACATATACTTAAATTTAGAAATGCCTTGTCTTTGCCAAAGAGAAAATGCAGAATCTAATTTAGCCGGGGGAAAAAGGTGGTTATTGCATATAGGACTCAAGCCAAGACAGTGTTTAAACCCAAAGTTCCGTCTGAATTAGATTTGTATCTTTTTATAAGCAAATTATCTCTTACGGCCCTTCCATCCTAGACATCTGCAGGGTAGATGGGATGGTCATCCTCAGGGTCATTAAGTGGTATAGCAGGATGTTGCTCTCCTCTAATCGTGGCAATATTTTGGAGAACAACACATCCCACTATAATGTCACGTGCCCTCCGGAGGGTGACCGGGATTTGAGAATGCCAATAATCATCTCAGCCCGGGTTCTTGTCCTGCAGTGGGCCCCATTGAAATGCTGCTGGGGGCCCGACTCAGGGTCCGGGTAAGGGGTCAGCAGAGAGGGCTGGCACGGATATCCTCGGTCCCCAAGTAGGTAGCCATCAAACTCTCCTGCAATTATAATGGATACATTTGGTTGTGTTAAAAGAGAAAAACATATTTGCACAAAGCTTTGGGCTACTTATCACATGCATATCTATTGCTCAGGCTACACTCACAGAAGATACGGGAATCATGGACAGAGCCTGGCCACTTAGCCTCCACATAGTGATGATATGTGCTGATGTGATAGCCTTCAGCTATCAGGCTCCTCTCCTGTGGAATCATCTTCCTGTTGTGGTCCGGGAGGCAGACACCATCTCCACATTTAAGACTTAAAGGAAATTGAGGCAGGATTTGTGAAAAAATACACGTGTTTTAAGTTGTTTTAATACTAATGGGTGATGAAGCGTTCAAAACCAAAAAGAATGGGGCCAGCCGCGTATCTCTCAGTTGCCTTGAACAGGCTGTGTGCTGCATAATGCGCTGTAATTCGTGGTCCGAATTTCCCGCGCTGTCCTGCGGATGTGACGTCAAATGACGCTGCATGCGCGTCCTCGGCGGCTTTCGGCTTGGATACAGGAAGAAGACGAGCGCGGTGGATCCAGACTACTGTTTGGGTAGTAATGGATTCCTCCGCAGCCAGCAAGCGACCCAGCACCACACAAAGCCCACTAAAAAGTGGTACTAAGAAGAAAACAAAGGTTTTATCAGCAGCATCTCGTGAGTTGAAAAGAGATTATGACCAAAGCCGTCCAAGCCACATCGGGTACACGTTCATGTCATGGAGGCAGCTTCGACTTGAGTTGGGACTCAAAACAGATGCTGACATGGCTCATTTCCTAGTGACCAGGTAAGAAAACATTATAGGTCATGTTTAGAGCTTGATTTGAAAATCATATGAGATCACCAAGGAGTTGGGGTGACCTAACGTTTCTCACTGTCCCTGAGAAACGATTGTTTCCCAGCTTTTGTAAGGTATTACTCTATTCAACGTATGTCTGTGTAACATTAGTGTAAAGTAAAATATAAATGCTAATACACTTCCAGGATATGTAATGGCCCTGGTTTAAGCTGCAAAGGTCACAATTTGCTTGCTTTTATCTGTTTCAGCTGATGGAAGGATGGACTCCCCAGGTAAGTATTCTATTTATCAAATTTGTGTAAACACATTTTCTGCAAGCAAAAATGATTTTCATATTATAACAACTCATTTATATCTACAGGACATACTGCCCAGTACTGCACTTATACCACTATGGAAAATGAGTCCAAGGACATCATCAGTGTTGTCACTGTGGACAAGAGACAAACCAACCATAACAGTGTGATCATGGAGAAGCATGCCTTCATACAGACGTTTGACAGCCTTTTGGAGAACCTGAACATCACCGAGATTGTCACTGATGCACACATGCAGATTGCAGCACTGATGGGTGAGTATATTTATTACAAAGATTATTAGACACTTGCACGACTGGTTATGGAGACTGTCACTGCTCATCTCTGAATAACAATTGCCAAAATTATAACAACATAATAATCGAATATTGTGAACAAGCCTTACTACGTCTTTGTTTATTGCTGATCCTAAGAAAGGGAGATAACACCAACACCGCAACAATACATGTTGAAATAATTATCTTTCTGTTTGGATGATTGCTACCCTACTTGCTTCTAGTGGTGGAGGAGCGTTTCTGTCACATGACAAATGTTTTTCTTCTCAAAATTGTATTTTGTTGTAGGATATGTGGGTGGGGGTGCTTTATCATGTCACAGGGAAGCATGAATGGACCCGTGGCAAATGTGACCATGGACCACTTGATGAAGCGACCCGTGATAAAGAGCTCATGGTGCCAGGCTCTGCACCACATGAGGCTCTTCAACGAGTCATGTTCAACAGACGCTGGTTGAAGGATGTCGCGAAGTATCTGACCTTTCGGTAAATTAACATTGTTTCCATTAGCAGAACAGTTATAGTATCAGTATGAAACCTGGCACATTACAAATAATAAAATGGGAATGTAAAAAAAATCATAATAATATTCCTCAAAAGTTTTAGCTGTGTTTTACATTACAGGTCAACTTCAGAACTTGAGAGTTTCCAGAACTGCATTCTCATGTATGCTGGAAAAAGGTGATTTTTATTTGATTATTCACTCTTTATTATAATTATTTATTTATTATTGAAAATATTGAGTTATCCTGGTCCCATACAAATGAAAAGAGATGTTTCAAGCGAGCCTTATGCCCAAGAGGATGGAGTCCCTTGCAGATTTTATTTGGTTAAACTTTTTTACCTCTATTGCCCCCCCCCCCACGCACACACACAGGTTTGCCTTATCTCCTCCTGTCTATGAAGCAAGGTGCCTTCTTGCTGCATTAGACTACAACCACCACAACCATCGACCAGATTACATCGGCTGGAATAACAAGAAATCGTAAATCTCACATTTATTGATCTTCAAGACAACTGAACATGATCTGTACTACAACATAACTTGTCAAATGTGCTGATTTAGTATAATCTGTCACTACATAAATTATTGGGCTGTACTGTTGGTTGACAGAAAAGGTAAGGGAGAGAGGGGGACATGCAGTAAATCTTTAAACTGTTGTCTTTTAGATACAAGAGACTGTACAGCAAGAAGTCACACAATTACCGTGTCCAAGCGGTAAAGGTTGCAAAGGACTATGGCTACATCCCTGAGCTGCAGCGTTGCATCCTAAGAAAGCGTATGGATGGAGGGGCGCTTCCAAGAAAAGCAAAACACTGGCCAGGTGACCCAAGGCATTTTGGAAATCTTGCAGGAGTTGTGCCCCCAACGGCAGAACTGGTCCAGACACAGATTCGCAGAGGACAGGTATGTCGTTCACCTACATCCCACATTTCATATCTGATCAGTTTCAAATAATGCTTGTTATTGTTGTGCAGGTCAAGTCAAAACATACCTCTTTGAATTAAAAAAAAAATAGAAGTCAGTCTCACAAGCCAGCTGCACTGTACTAAGGTCCAATACTGCAGAAGTTTAGATCTTTTGCTCACTCTCACCAATTATAATACACTGCTAATTCAGTTGAAAGTTTGGAACTTCTATTTGTAATGGTCATACTATCAGCATCAAGCCATTAGTTATATCTGTTATGCCAGGGTTGAGTTGAAAATAACAATTACCAGATTTGATTATGGAGCATTGGTATATGTTCTAACGCTACTGTTCTCTTCTCTTCATAAAGGCCTCAGCTACATGAAGCAAGAAAAGAGAGAAGACAAGACCTGCTTATTTTCCAAACATTTTTTATTAGGAACATGTAAAAAACAAAAAACAAAATAAAACTATGTACATAATGCAAATTTGAAAAATACTCCCTGAAAACTTTGAAAATAAATATATATTGCACATAAATTGTTTTTATTTTTGGATAAAAGTGGAGTCTGTTATTTTGAGATCACAGATAAATAGAACAGTTGGAAATTTTACTCTGCCACCCTAAATGGAGCTTCTTTGTAGCCTGTATCGTTTCCAGAGGGGTCAGGAAATTTGCACGGATGCGAAGTACACAGCAGCTTGGGATCGGCCTCCGGTTCCCTCTTCACAGGCACCCATGTTGCCAGATTGTGAACTGGCGGTAGGCAGCAAACCGAAACTCTTTGTTGTCGGCTCCCACATCTTGGCTGTCCTCCAGAGCAAAGATGTCGTTCCACGTCATCCTCACCAGACGCAGCATACCCTCATCCAGACAGTACATCTCCAGGTGGGCACTCCTGCTTCCGGAGTCTGCCAACAGCACAGGTTTTCCATTTGGGTCGGCATGCGTCGGCAGTTCAGGCAGGTGCACCATGCAGGCTGCCCTCTATCTGGAAGATGTGGTCCTGGTGTCTGCTCCTGGAACTCCAGGATGTCCAGCATCACCCCTGGTAGGCGGGTCACCACTGACTGTAGAATGACATCTTTCTCCTCCTGGCTCAGATGTTGTAAAGCCGTCTAGAAATTGATCAAGGAAATATGTTTACATGGCTAGATTCATATTTCAAGTCTGTGTCCTCTTTTACTCATTCATTCATATAACAAGATTTTTTTAACCAAATAGCTATAACCAACCTGCATCTCAGCTATACTGGCAGCTCTAAGCTGTGCGAGCCAGACTCTGTCCTCCTCCCTGAGAGCTTTGGTGCGCTGCCTGCCCCGGCGCCCTGGTGCTCTTGAAGGAGCTCTGGACCGCGACCTGCTGCCTTCACCCCTTGAGCGTGTCCTTCCCCGACCTTCAGCGTGACCTCTTCCTTTCCCCTTTCCTCTCCCACCTTTGCCTTTACCCCCTGGTCTCAAACTTTCCCATGACTCATCAGAGTCTGGAGCAGGTTGAGGCACATACTCCTCCTCTGAAGTGTCCTCCATCTGTGCCACTCCTTCCAGAGTCAATTCCAAATCCTAAACAAAAACAATGAGAACAATAAATAATAAAAATAACTTTATTACCCTCAAAGGGATGTTATGATTTTATTTGATGTAATTTTTATTCTGATTCAACATTGACATTTCAGTTTTTCTTGTATTTACGTTGTTATAACACAGTGATATTCGTAGCATTCATATTGTCTTATAATGGAAATGGTTTCACAAATTATGTCAGTGGCTTGAGTTAGTTAGTTAGTTTTTTTTTTTATTATTATCATAGTGTCATACACTGAAGGTGCAGCCCTCATGGGCTTACAAGACACTTAGAACAAAAATACAGGAGCCTTACAAAACACACTAAAAAGAGAAAAAATACGGGGAATAATGCTCCTATGCTCCCATATGCATATATACATGCATACATACACACATACATGCATTCATGCACCCACGTACATACATACAGTACAGGCCAAAAGTTTGGACACACCTTCTCATTCAATGCTTTTTCTTTATTTTCATGACTATTTACATTGTAGATTCTCACTGAAGGCATCAAAACTATGAATGAACACATGTGGAGTTATGTACTTAACAAAAAAGGTGAAATAACTGAAAACATGTTTTATATTCTAGTTTCTTCAAAATAGCCACCCTTTGCTCTGATTACTGCTTTGCACACTCTTGGCATTCTCTCGATGAGCTTCAAGAGGTAGTCACCTGAAATGGTCCAAACTGTAGCGTGAGATCTGCGTAATGTAAGAGATAATGGTGTTTGGGTCTCAGTCGTGTAAGTGGGAAGAGGATATGTCTCGTTTCCAGGTACTCCTCAATGAGCACCTTCATGTATGCAACCTGTGACTGACAGTGTGGGAGCACACACGAGCTCAACCACCTGTCTCAGTAGCAGTATGAGTTGCCAGACTTCATCCTTGGGGTCTCTGACTCTGTCATCTAACAGTATTGGTAAATGTCTAAGCAGCCACCAGTTTTGGGCAGCATGCCCGCCAAGTTTTGTCCCACTGGTAGGTATAACATTGGCCTTGTTCTGACTCTCTCCTTTGAAGGTCACAATCCTGCTGTTAAGTACATCATAACTGAACCATTTCCTTGTTTTTACTAGGAACTGCAAGTACATCGCCAAATCATAGTCAACTATGCCCTCAAATAAATCGTGGGCAAGGCAGGGTGGGAGTCCTGGTGCACATACATGGAAATGCGTGAGCTTGTTAAGAACACTGTTTGACTTGATGCCTTGATGCATTTGCACATCTGGGTTATTTTGCAACTCCTGCAATGATTCACTGTAACTAGCTGGTGTTCTCTCAGTGGCTGTAGAAAGAGGATTTCTTTGAAAGTCCTCTTTTCTAACATGACAGTTCCTACAAAAATATGCTGCACTGCTAAAGTTTTCAGTAAATCCTCCAAGATAGTGGGACCCAAGATTATCTCCTATGACACAGGCAATACTACCTCTAAAGGTTTTCCCTTCAACACAAATGCCTGTTGACTCAAGGTCACCCAAGTCTGACATCAAAGTGTCAAAAACTGCGTCAGGTCCAAACCATTTACAGTTCTTCTCCAAACAAAGTAATACAAGCTGGATAGAATCAACAGTGGATCTGTTATGGGCATAGACATTAGCTAGACTGTAGTACACTGCAAGAACTTTATGTTTTTGCCTGGCAGACCCCAAGGGGTTAGCAACTTCAAAAGCATCTTGAAACAACATGATTTGAAGAGCATGCGGATCAGATGAAAACAAAACGTTTGATTTAATGACATGCCCATCTCCAATATCACGTAGCATGTTCTCATTGGCAGGTATGGGATGTAGCACTTGATGCCGTACACCTTGATTCGACAAGAGAGCTTTTAAGCTTTGTAAGATGGGAACTTAATGGAAATGTTGTTGCTTGCCGATGTCATCTTGGCCTAAATTTATCTTTACAGGTTCAACTAAGTTGAACTCTTTCCTGTAATACTGAAGTCTTCTGTGGTGTGTGGTTAAGCTGCCATTATTTGTATGTAGTGTGCTCTGCATTGGGCTTTGCTCATATACATGTTGCCCTAGATTTTGTAAAGCCTCATCAGGTACACCATATTCTTCAAGACCTCTTGAAAACAAATCCATAGTAAACTCATGCTGGATGTCCTGAAGCACTCTCATTTCACTTGCAATCTTTGAGACTGTAGATGCCGGGACAAGATACTTGGCTTGTAAGCCAAGAAAAAAAAGAGCCATGTTTTCAGTGTATCTATCCTCGGCTGACCCTGGGTGAGTGTCTCCATCTTGCTGCCCTGCTGCACTCTCTCCATCATCTTGCTGGATTTCACCATCAATGTATGACCCCGGGCCATTATCAGAATCAGCATGTAAACACTCTGTCTCACTGATATGACTTTGACAAATATGTGTAACATCACACTGCTTGTGACATCTTGACAAATGAGATGTAAAAGTAGATATGATTTTGAAAGTCTTTCCACATCCACTATAAGGACATGTCACTTCAAGACCCTCTTTTATATGACACTTCAGATGAGCTACAAGACCTTTTATGCTTCCACACTCTTTGCCACAAAATTCCCAAGAACACTTCAACTGTACAGATATGTTACGATTAAAAGACTGTTTCCTCCCCTCATGGTGATTTCTGGTCAAGTGCACATTAAAGGAATTGTAAGAGGTAAAGCTTTTTCCACAATCTGGAAAACCACAAGGAAAAACTGCCCGACTAATGTTTCTATGGGTCCTGCAATGTTTTAAGTAGGCAGACACTGAGGCACTTGTGAACTCGCAGATACCACAATGAAGTGTCATAGTGACAGCAAGTAAAAGAAAGAAAAGAATACATGGCAATCCCATAAAACAAGTAAGCTTTGAGGAGTAATGGCTACAAAGGCTTCTAGGGAGTCAACTGTAGTGTCCAAGCTAGTGTCAACTGTAGAGTCCAAAAGCTGTTCACTCCATTATTCATAAAGAAAAAAGAAATAATAATGTGTAAAAATCATCGTATTTTCATATGGTACCTGCACTGAGGTGTAATGGATTGGCTTCTGGGGTGTCACGTGGTGTAGCTGTCCAAGAACTTTTGCATGGGTGGATGTTCACCTGAAAACAAGTACAGTAATTTTAGCCAACAAATATATTCATATTTGAATTGAAATCCAATTGGATGTACACATAAAACACTGACTATTGGCTTTATTGAACACAGACTATTATATATATTAAATAACTTTTTTTTTTCCAAAACTGCACCGGGTTTTTTTTGTTTTTTTTTAAATTGCAAAAAAAATGTTCCAGGTTACTTAAAATGAATTGCAGTATATTAGGGTTGCACCAATGTTGTCTCTTTCACCTTCTTCTCCCTTATTTTTCATCTCTAAATTGCTTCAGATTGTGGCAAAATTCAAGATTAATTTAACTTTTTACCTCAATTATGAGTAATAAACGATTATCTGAAAAAAAAAAATACTGCATGGGCTGCAAATAAAAATAAATAAATTAGAATTTTTTTTTTTAAATAAATAAATACCATGTAATTTCAGAACAGTCTTCAATTAGGACAATAATAGGTATTTGGTTTCAAAAGTGTCTGAACATACTACTGAATTTACTGAATTTTGCTTCGGGGATTAATAAAGTACATCTTATCTTACTCTACATTTCTTCCTCCTAAACCAGGCCTTTTACAAGAAAAAACAGCAGGATATGTTTCACTGTGTCTTTATGCTTTCCTGTCGTTTGATGAAAAAGTAGAAAACACAGACAGGCGTTGCTGCAGGTTGAGTGTGTGCATTTCCAGCAGAGTTCACTACATTTCACACAATATAACGTTATGCTCTGCTCTGATGCCAGTCGGATATTCAGTAGTAAAAATGACGGTGTTCCTTTACACCACACTGACGTGTTTTTATCTTGTTTAAAAGAATACTCCGACGATTTGGGAGTTATGCCCTTTCTCTATCATTT